TGTTTTTTTTCTCATATTCTCTAACACTCAGTAACCCACACTTGCTTCTTAGTGGCTTTATCGTCTTTGATGAAATAATTTTTAAAATGCAAATATTTTTCGAAATAAAACAGATTTTTTTCCTACATATAGGGTAAATTGCGAAAGTGACATCCTGCAGTCTTTTTATTACTTGAAATCCTGGCGAAATTTCAAAATAGTCTGGAATAAGGACAATGAAAAGGTCCCCTTCGAAAGCTGTGGCATATGTTAATACTGAGAGTGATCAGAACGACAATAAACTCAGTGAAAGAAGATCGATAGACAAGTGATGGATGGGAGCGACTTGTTCAATTTGATGTCAGTCGATAACAGTAAATGGATCCTTTAAGCACACGGACGGAAGAAGTTCATTTCAACGAAGAAACCAGGCTTAAAGAGGAAAAGGTAGTATTAAGTTTTTCAAAGTGATATGAACTGTGGGATGTAGGTGGCTGGGTTACAACAACATTCAGCGATGAAGCTGCATTCCAATAACTGTGAATTTATCAGAAGTATAACAAGAAAGCGAAATGAATGACGTTACACAATAAAAACAGTGCAGTTTGGTGAGAGAGTCTGATCCATTAAGGTTATATAAAATGGGACGGGTCAAGAAAATTGTTTAAAATAGAAGATAGTTTGAATAATGCAGAATACATCTTGTTGCTGAAAGAGGATTTAATACCAGCCTTGGATAAAGGCGAGTTTATTTATTTATTTATTTTTATCATTAAGGATCTCCATCTCACAGATTTCATTCAACACACCAACGACTGTTTGATGAATGTGTCACTATAAGGAAAAAAAAATGGCCAAAATTGACTAAAATCATTGATAAATTATTGACAGAACGAATGAGTAGATTTTAACAGGATAATTCACGTGATCTTGAGAAGTTGGCGTGTAACCACTGGGATTTGCATCGTGTAGCTGAGAAGATAATGCAGGATTTGTACGTACCACGTCCCAGGTGCATTTAAGCAAATATTGCAACTAATGGAAGGTACAGAAAATATTATGGTCTATTCTTGAAATAAACGTGAAACATTATTTATTATTATAGCAGCGATTATTATAACAGCGATTTTTGAGAGGTCGTTTCGTATCTTCAACACCTTTTCAGAAAACTTGCTATAAATATGATAATTAGGTGTGAAAATGACTTTAATATTCTTAAGGTCAATAGACGACAAAAAAAAATCCACTCATAAGATAGCAATTATTAGAAACTAGAATTTTTGAATCTCGCTAACGCGTTGAAATCCTTAGAGTATTTAGTATTGTTGAAGTCATAGTGAACATACCTTTTCATGATTTAGAAACTCTAACTTTCGTCCAATTTCGCAAACTAATCGATGGAATTTGAATAAGCTAATTTGCTTGAAAAGTACTTTCACAAAAACCTTAATACTTACCCCTTTCTGTGTGTACATGTGTGTGATGGTATGTATGTGTGTGCATGTGTGGTATTTTAGAAGTCAGTATCATGACGACCAGTGGCCTGAAAAATAATTTATACGAAACTCTAGTGGCACTAATAATACCGGATTACTGTGTGTGTGCCTTTAGAAAATGTAAGTCTAATTGTTTCTTTTAACATGGCGACCAGTGACCAAAAGTGACCTGAAAAGTGGCACTAATAATACCGGATTACTGTGTGTGTATGTGTGGTATTTTAGAGGGACGATGAAGTGGCTAAATGTAAGTCTAATTGTTTCTTCTAACATGGCGACCTGTGACCTGAAAAGTGTTTTATACGAAATTCTAGTGGCAATAATAATGCCGGATTACTGACAGTCATCCTATATATATTAAAGTTTGAACACACACACACACATGATTTTTCAATTTTAATTTAATGAACATATAAAACTTTCGGCAATTACTGAATGTTAATGATATACATCTATGGAGATCGTTATGTACTGTAAATGTTGATACTATCATCATCATCATTATATTTTGATTTCTGCTTTAGTTACGCTACCTACCAATTCTGCGGGTTGACCTAAGGCAGATAGTGTTGTGTTTCTAGGTCTACATTTCATGATTTATTTTTCTAACTCCCATTACATCATAAGCGTTACATGAACAAAGTTATTCTTAGTGTGTGGGCTGTACTTATCAAGATTTTTTTTTATTTTTCTCTTAAGCTTGGATGTCAAGGAATATTTTTCAATATGTTCCTTTATTTATCATTCGAAGCCCACCTACTATGACTGGTACTATTCTTGTTTTCTGTTTCCTAATTTATTTAATTTAATTTAATTATATAGGACTTCATTGGAAACTATATTTAAAAAAAAAATAATTTTTTAATATCGAAGATCAAATTCTTAGGATTTCTTACTCTTACGCGTACAATATAAAACTGGCCATGGATGAATATTTCCTTCTAGAGGAAATTTCAAAATTTTGAAGCGTTTGGCCCTGTGATTTATTTTATTGCTAAAGCAAACGAAGGGCGAAATACAAACTG